TAATACAAAAAAGATCTTACTAAATATATCTGTGGAATATTATTCAAACCTGTTACCATCATATAACACAGCACAGCTGTCAGGACTGCCGCGGAGCTCCCCAAGGTGCTGATCCTGCAGCTAGGACCTGTTCAGCGTTTTCTTCCCCACCACGTTTAATTGTTTTCACATGTTTCCTAGAGCTGTGTCCTGCCTCTTATTTACACTCAGATAACTAATATAATATAATGTAGCCTAGTATAACATGTTAAAATAAATGCAATGTGTGGGCTTTGGTTTTCAATCAAAAAAATGATTGATTGGTTAGATAATTTCACAATTTCATTTGTCATTATTACATATTATTTTGATCATTATTACTTTGATTAGATCATTCTGATTAATGACTGACCATTAAGACGTGTTTCTGATAAATATTTTAATGTGCACAATAATTAACCTTTCACATTGTAATCATATTTTTATTTGTTATCTTTTGCATATGTGTGGCTGCTCCGTGTGTGTCTGAGCAGAGTGCACGTGCGTTGTGCACCCGCCTAGAGACGCATATTTCTAACTTGTTTAACATCTAAATACTGCGCCATTGACTTTAGACCAGGTTTTTGTTGGTTACTGGCGCATTTGCTTTTTACGCTATCTAACTAGCAACGCGCCATGACTGCGCCTGACCACTCCTCATTTTTAGACCAACACACCCAGAGAAGTGCAAGTTCATTTGAGATTTGAGATATGACAAACTTGCTGTCTTTGGTTTAATTTTACTCAGTGTTGATGATCCAGGGTTCTTTGGTTGGTTTAAGAGTTGATTGATTTTCAGGCTGTATGGAGAGTTGCAGGACGACGCTATAAACTGATTATCTTGACTGTTGCATTAAAAACAATGAAAACAGAAATCCGCAAACAAGCATTCCCCAAATTAACAGGCCTTTACAAATCAATAGGTTATTAAATAACTTCATCAAACAAACAAAAAAATAATTAACAAAATACACAGCGGTTTAAGACTGTAACCCTGTGGTGTCTTCACACACACGGTAGCACACCAGCCTTTAATTAAAGGCTCCCAAGATGCCAGCTCAGGTGGCGCATTAACTCAAAAACTAATAGGAAACTAGGACTTGCTAGAAATGGCTCTAACACACTGCATTTTGAGCATACAAACACCATAGCAACATGTCCACAGATAGAGGTTGGACAGGACAGTGTGTATGACTGTTGTAATGAGACGCAAATAAGATCACGGCTAGCTGACCACTGTTGGCTGTGCGACCTGTCACAATGTCATCTAATAGACCACACTGACTGAGGGTTTGCCATGTTGTTTTATAAGTTTCATTTGTCCTACAGAGCTGCTGGAAGTCTTTGTTAATAACTAGAAGCTAAGTGTGCATGATTATTCATGATGGATGTAAGGTCGTATTTTGGAGGGAAGTTAGTGTCGTCTGTTTCTCTCATGATCATTGATATTTTTAGAAAGTTTGAATCCTAATTTTGTCAAAACTAAACTAGAATTTTTTTTTTTTTATTTGTTTGTGGTTTTATGCATTTCTTCACTGTTTATCTTCTTCATCAGTACAAGTAAAGTAAGTAACAAGGCTATCAAAAACTAGCCTACTGACACAGACTTGTTTGTCAGTCATGTGATCCTCACCCTGTAGCTGGTAGCGGTCCATCAGAAGTCTCCTGTGAGTTTTAGTGTGTTACTCAGTGAGCTTTAGAGGTGCTGGTGTCACCTTTGTACAGAGCCAGACCAGCTGTCTCCCCTTGTGTCCTGTCCTTGTGCTCATCTATGCCAACCAGCTGCTCCTGGTGGTATCATGTTTAGCAAACAGATGTGAGAGAGGTACCAGTCTTCTTATCTAAGGTAAGAAAGCGAATAAGCGAGTCTCCCAAATTGTTCACCTATTCCTTTGAGACATTTCTACAATAGGGTCAGGAGGGCCAGCTCAAAATATATGACACCAGAACAAAATAACCCTCAGTAACCGGCATGAAAAGCTATTGTTGAGATCCTAAACCAGAAATGTTTTCCTATGAGACCCTCGGTGGAATTAAAATAGAGCTTTACTTAGCCCAGTTAGGACTCAGTCTGGAAATCAGGCTAATGAATATGTAAGGAGGACTGTCTTTGGCTCGCCCTCTAACTCTCTGAAATAAAAGATAAGTGAGACCAATAGCTTTGAAACGATCATACAGTCGCCTACAGATTGAGTACATGCATTTTATATCCTCGCTATGTCTGTGGGGATTAGTTTATTGGTTTTAATCTCCGCTGCTTCATAGATTCGTCTAAAGATTTCTCTTTTCTCATTCACTTTATTTTTAATATCAGTATATCTTGCCCCCTCCATCTGTCACTCTCTTTCTCAGATATGTATTTATCCCCCTGCCAACCTATCCTCTATTTTTCTCCCCTGCCATCCAGCCCTCATTTCAGTTAATACCGCCTGCTTTTCCTCCTCTCCTTCCCTTTCTTCCCTTGCACTTTTCTCTTAAACTAATTCCCCTTCTTTTTTAGATAGGAGTGCCAATCCTTGGAACCCATAATTCTATTTATATCTTATTGTATTATATTGTTCAAGGGAAGGATGCTTGACAACATTTTTCCTGCGTCCATTCATGCCAATAAAGCACTTTTTGATTTGATTTGCGGGAGACAGAAGGAGAAAGCGATGCAGAGGGAGGAGAGAGATCTTCACTAGTCAGTTCTGACAAGGCTCTGTAGACTCAGTGGTCCATGTCGGACTGAAGTGTCAACTCCAGTTGTACGTCCAAGCATATCATTAAGAAGACGTCTTTTGTTAGAGTCAGTCACAGCTGTCTTTTGAAAAGTGAATGTGCTCGCCTGGGCGTTTGCACACATCAGCTCTTTCTCTGTTCGCACACCAAAAATGGCATTTTTAAGACAAGAGTGTTGTAAACATGCTGTTAGACGCTCGCACGCCGTGGCCTCATTTCCATCCTGACTGGCTGCAAAAACTGATACTACTATGCGGGTGACAGGAGAGTTTGTGTTATGAATCCGTTTTGATGCCAGGGGTTGCATCACAAACTGAACTGAAGTGCAGCAGCAGCACTGTGAAACTGTCTGACACACTGTGTGAATTATTTTCCCATCTTCAACACTAAAATCAGAGCAGATTCTAACGTAAGAGCAGATTCTGATGTAACTGCTGAATTGCAGCCAATGGGGAAGGATATTCCAGCATAATTCAAACAAACTGAGGCGGATGTGATGGATAATACTGTTCACTGAGACACAGTGCAGCGCTATAGCACCACCTGTTGGCCAGTATCTACATGGTAAAGGAAACTGGATGTGCTTCATTTCTAATAATCCAACAGAATGGTTTGAAAGTACTGAACACACAGTCACCTAGAAAAAAGACTTGCCCCATTTTTTTCCTCTCTTGCAATTTCCAATATGTATTTACCAGTGTTGTAGTAGCTGAGCTTGGTCTCAAGACAACTTTTTGGTGGTCTCAGTCTTGTCCTAGAATCAACCGCATTTTTACTTGGTCTTGTCTTGATCTTAGGATTTTACTTCAAGACCATTCAAGACCACAACTGCAGGGATATCACTAAATTCCTTGTGCAAAAAATGAGTGTTGAATAAACATGGCAAGATCATTTCAGCTCTGCAATGCCTTTTAAATAATTCATTAAGACATTCCTCATTGTACATTTATACATAAATATATGGCAATTAAAAAGATGAATGAAGAGGACTCTTGAGGAATGTTTTTTGTGAGTGTTCTTATGGGAAAGTAGATCTTTCAGATCAGCTTGAGGAGTGCATATGGTGTGCATTGCCACATTTTGTGTGTGTGTGTCATGCAGTGTGGGACTCCCACTGGTCTGGTCTTGGTCTCAACCCCTAAAAGACTTAGCCTTGTCTTGGTCTTGATGCCATCTGGTCTTGGTCATAGCTTGGTCTTGGTTTAGACCTATCAGACCTATCTCCACGGCACTGTGTCAGAGCTAGAGGAAGGTCTGGAACCACCCTTTATCATTCTGATATAGGGGGGAAAAACTGTCTTGGGTGTCTTGGGCAGCGCTAAGCCCAGGATGCAGTGATGGTGCTCTTGAAAAAAAACTAGTACGCAGATGCAATGCCAGAAGAATGCCGGCTGAAATAGCTCGTCAATGGCAGGCTGACACCCACAGTCTACATTTGGTGAGTCAGACTGCAGCTTAGGTGGTCTTGACTACAACACTGATATTTACAGTATTGTGATGTGTTATGCTTGTTTCCGAGCATCTCTTCTGTACCTTCAGATCCATCATCTGCATGACAAAAAAGTGTGCTTTATTTCAGTGGTTCTCGACCTGAGGGTCATGACTTCTGTTAGGGGTCTCCAATAAATTTGAAGGGTCGCTAGATGATTAACAAAAGAGGAAAGTAAAAAAAAAAACATTTATGCAAATGCATTTTACTTGTAAATCACTAAATATGTCTTGATGAACCAGTTTCAACTGATAGACGCATGCAACGGGAGACAAATATGCACAGAAGACAGTGTTTTGTTTTAAGGGGTCATGAGCCAAAAAGGTAGAGAACCTCTGCTCTCTTTGATCCCATTAAGCTGCTGGGATCCCCTTTGCCCCAATGAAGGCAGATTTACAGAAACCTTGGCTTTGTCAGCATTGGACCTAAAAGTGAAGAGCCTTTTCTCTCTTATTTGAATCTTTTTTGGCTGCCTTGCACTTGAACTTTGTGTTGTAGGAAGGGTTATCCTTTAAATCCAACAGGAAACATGTCAACTGTCAGTCTTGTAATGATCTGCATTTCCTGAGGCATAATATCAATACCCACTAAGCCAGACCTCCCAGTCTCCAAGCAATCAAACACACTTATATACCCACATAGCCTCACACATGCACTGATATAGAGGAAATGGCTTTTATGTCAAAATTTTATTTTGTTTTTAATCAAATTTTCTTTTTCCCTCCACACCCCTCCCACCTCTCTCTGTCTGTCTTTGTCTTTCACCCTCCAGATTTAATAAAATCCAGAACACGAAGAACACTATGAAGAAGGACGGCATCAGCTCTCTGACCTACAAAGTGCTTCAGGTCAAGAGGTACCCTCTGTACACAAATATCTCTGTGGAGATTGGCAAACCACCGCCCCGGCCTATTAAGGGCTAGAGACAGACGGAGAGGAAGACGAGGGGGTCGACGCACACTGACTGGAGGGAAAAATATGGGAAGAAGAGAGCTTATGAGAGGGAAATAAAGAGATCACAAATCTAAGACATCTGGAAGGATGATGGAATGAAAGAGAGGAAAAAGTTACAAGCACATTATGGTCTCTTTCTCCCTCTCGACCCCTCTCTCTGTTTTGATTTTTTTTTTTTTTTTTTTTTTTTTTTGGATTTCAGCTTGCCATTTCTGGATCCAGGACTCAGGCTCTTTGCAACTTTTTCAAGCAGCCAGTGGCTTCACGCCTCCTACCTTTACCAATCAGTGACTTCAGAATTTTAAGAGTGGGGACCAAAGCTCGGATATCAGTAGCCGACCAAAGGTTGGTGTCAGACTTGGAGGCTGAAACTTGGAATCTTTCCATTAACAATCTTTTGTAAACTGGAGGACATCCAGTGGCATATCGATGGAGAATATTGACAGGAGCTATTGTCAGGGGATTAGAGATCAGACAATGACATCATTTGAAACTTTGGAAAGTTTTCATGGCCTGTTTTGAAACACTGGACAGTATCAAGGGGGATTTCTTGGAATATCTGACCAAGTTCATATAAGCAGAATGAAATGGGCTTTTTACATGGATACAAAGATGGATACAAGACGTGGTACCTGCTGGTTTGGGAATGACTTAAGAGCGGACAACAAACCTTAAAAACGCCATCAAACATTTTACTTTCCGAGCAGTGATGATCAAGAGAATGGGGATTTCTATTAGAGGCAAACTGTAACTAAATATGACAGGCAGTGATGCTTCACTGAACTGTATCTGATGGACTGCATATCGAAGAAAACGTCTGACTCTTATCTTGACAAATGATGCTAATGGACGATTTGATATTGACGTCTTTGTCAGGGAGTTTGGATCTAATTACTCAATCAAATCCTCCTCCGGTATCAATTAATGAATGTGTATTGTGCCTGCATTTACAGTGCTGGGACACGCTGATAAAACATGTTCATCAGCAGCAACAAACTCCAGAGAACTCTCTTTTTGTTCACTTTTATACATATATATATGTATATATACATATATATATGTATATGTATGTACTTTGGAAACCTGGCTTATTGGAGTAACGGAAAAGTTTTGCAACAAAAGTAAACATATTGAAGACGTGAAGAGTTTTCTCCTGTTCTGGATGCAGTGTTGTGGAACTACCTTGGGAATGCATTTGAAATCAAATCAAGGAACTGAAGACAGCAAGGCAGATAGATACACTGACAGCTCAGTTGTGATTTTAACCCCATGTGGCACATATTGGAGATTAGGTTTCTGGAAGCTTTGTTTCTATCACTCCCCTTAAAGACAGATTAAAGGTTTATTTTGGTAATCTGGACATTAAATGTACATATTTGTCTCTACGAGATCTAAATGGCTTGAGGTACATTCATATTCCTGAAGGTGCTGGTTTGATTCAGTAAAAATATGCATTTTCAATTAGAAAATTGGACATTTACCACATTTTCTGAACATATATGGGACACAAAGGGGTTAAACTGAGCTGTAAGAATAGAATTATGGCTCATGCTTTACAGGAAAAAGTGTTGTGGATACATAAGCTTCAAACATTTACACTGAATCCACAGACAAGCCGAGCTGAAAAGTACTTTTGGAGGTCAATTTTTAGCCTACAATGTAACCTGGACGTCAAAGTTTTTTTAAGTATCACAGTTCATTAAAACTCTATTGCTACTGTTATTACGCCATTTTCTCTCTCTGCTATCTTTTTCTTTAAATCTTTAAGAAAAAGATGATTATATCCGGAAAGAGGAAATTAGAAGGTGATAGTCTTCTGTCTGTGGAAATTGTGAATTTTAAGGCAGTAATGAGAAGTTATCCTTTGAGCAGTTTGACTGACATCTCTATGGCTGCTTTAGATTTTATCATCATCAGCTGTCACTTTTCTATTTATGTCTATTTTATCACACTTTCCAATTTCATAAATTAATCAAGCATTGTGAGGTTTGTTTTTTATTGAAGCTGTTGTTTTTATTTGAGTTTCATAACTTTCCCTGTGTGAAAAATGAACAACTTAATCTGCGTACAGAAGCCTTTGACTGTTTTATGCTTTGATACATCAGTCTTTGTCCTTTGTTTTATTTTTCCTTGTCTCTACTGTTGATGCTGTTACTGTTGACGCCTAAACACCAAACCGATGCCTTCAGAAGTTATCGTTACTAAAGGGGCAAGGAAGCTTATTTTTGATTTAAAGGTCATATTGGGGTGTAAAATCTGTTGATGAAGATGTGTGCTCGTAATGGGTAATACAGAAACTAACCCATGTTTGCTTCAGTTTAAAAAACACACATCAAAGGTTCAGTGTGTAGGATGTAGTGGCATATATTTTGTTTTTCCAACGCATTCTCATTCCAACCTTTACATGTCCACATACGACATGTAAGGTACCCTGGGTGTGTTGGTTATTGACGCTCTGGGACGCCGTGTCAAGTTATGCCTGTTACATGCATTGTCTTCTTTCAAGATACACTTCTGTTTTCACAGGAAATTGAACGTCTTCATACAGTCTCTTTCAAAATCAATGCACTATGTCTGTACCTGTTTTTTTCCTTCAACAACAAACACACATGGTTGGGTTTAGAAAAAAGAACAGGGTTTGGCTTTAGAATCTTACGGGACACCAACACCGCTTTCTCGGGTGAAAGTCGGTGTTTGTTGGACCCATCCACCACCAGTCCCGCCCCACCCCAGTTGGAGTTTCGCTGCCTTAACTTTCATCGTTGTCCCGCCATATTCCCCCCGATGCCGTTGGGAGCTGTTAAACTATAACGGCAACCGGCCGCGTATCATACCGACATCAAAGAACGCCTTACTCCGTTGGTCTCTGATGCCACAAGTCAGATTTTGACGACTTCGGAGTGAGACCAGGCTCATTTTTCTATCCATCTACATAGGGAGTAGGTCCCTGTCCACGGAGTCCACCATGTTTCTACAGTAGCCCAGACCAGACAAACCAAACTAAAACTAACTACCAACAATAGTTAGCAGCCACTCCTTGATTAGACCGTCTGGAAATAACACAAATATTTTAATGTAAAACTCTGTGTACTTCACTGTTTTTACTTCTTTAAATCACCATGTGCTTTTGTTTTGAAGGGAAAGAGATCTTTGCAGATAATTTGGCTCCTGTTAGGAATCTTCTGAACAATGAACACTGAAGGAATCCTAAGTAAGAATCAACATTTGGAAGAAATTTTAGCTGGTTGAAATTTGCAACCTTGCTATATGCCACTAAATCCTACACATTGCTCCTTGAAGATCATAAAAAACTTAAACTTTCTCTACATATCTTTGATCTTTTAAACAGACATAAGATTTGTGTGCAATGTTGTAACTGTTTTGTATCATTCAGAACAATTTTAGGGCTTTTATTTTGTACATTGTTGGCCTCCTCTTTGGTCAGCCTTGAGGCAAAAATGTTCCCATCTGTTTGGCTCAGCATTACCTTCGCCTTGGGTCTTTTGAAAGGTTTGATTACTCCTCACACACACACACACACACACACACACACACATGCATTCACACTGTCTCCCTTTTTTCTTTGCATTATCTCCCCTTTTATTGCCTTTTCTTTCTTACTCTGCCAGTCCAGGCTGTATGTGTCAATGGCACTCCGTTGTGCTTCGTGGTGGGCCTACTTCAAGCACAGCTGTGTCTCACAAGAGTGCTTCTTCTTTCAATAGATATCGACACAGCCTCTCTTTGTGTCTCTGAATCTGTGCCACTTACTGTATCTTTTTTTTTTTTTTTTTATCTCAGTACACATCCTCATTTGTGAATCCTTCTGCGTCTCCCCTTCTCTCATTCTCTCCCTCACTTTATCTGATTCCCCTTTTCCTTTTCACCCTCTGTTGATACTTATTTCCAGAGTGCAGAGCTCTCCTGGTGAGTTTGAGTGTCCTCAGTGGGCAGACTACCCACGGAGAGGTCAATACAGCCCCTTCTCTATACTGTTTACAGCTCACCCAGTGCAACATTACCAATTTGTTCACATCTGCCACATATGCCACTTTAAGCTTGTGTTTTCATGTGGGATCTGAGGTAGTTAATGTTTGAATGCAGTCATGGTTTTTCCAGATAGATTTCCTTATTATTTGCCTCCAATCAGCTTATTGATTTGAAATCCTTGTAATCAGTACAGGGGCGATAAAATGGCAGCTCTTGCTTTGATTTTTCCCATCCATACAGTATTTAAGAACCTTGGTGATTTAGTGTTTACTCGCATAAAGTGGGGTGACTTGAAAAAAAAAAGGAATGGTCAAAATTGCAGCAGCAGAGGCCGAGATATCTTGACTTCTATTCTGGGTCAAGATCCAAACACACTGGATCTTACATTCTCCACAATTCATCTTAATAGTGTCTCATAGCATTGCGAAGTTGGAGGAGCCATTTCAGGCGTAAAAGTAAAAAAAAAACTCATTCATTTTTTCCTGTAGACGATGTTAGATGATTCACAATTGGGGCTCACTCTCTCTTAACAGTGGACGAATTTAAAAAATTGTCCCCATTTTGTCACTTAGATACACAAACATGGGAAACTAGAGTCCAGGCTGAAAGATACCAAAGTTTTTTACTTTAACAATGGCATTAGAAATACCAGATTCTTTCATAAAAATGTACAACTAGGTGACTTTCTACATAGAAACATTGGTGGGGCCATTAACTACAACTCCCAGTGTGCGTTTTGGCACGAAACATCTAATCACAGGAAGTAGAATTCTCCAATCTGCAGTTGAAGTAAATTCATTTTGGATTTTTGCTTCAGTTATGGACAAATTTGTTAACAATGGTGCTGTGTTTTGGTCACAAATTCAAAGGGAGGAAAGATACTCCTGGAACCAGTTGCTCCTTCCGCTTCACAACTCTGTTGGACTCTCTTTTCCTCCTAAATGCCCTCTTCCAATCCCCACACCTCTAGTTTATGAAGTAAGCTTTCTCGTAAACAAAATCAGGTCTCAAGAGCAAGCTGAGATAACCCTGATGATCTGGGTTTTTTTTTTACTTCTGAAAGCTCCCTCCACAGAATTATACAGCTGTTTTCACAGGCTGAGTATCACTCCTCATAACCTCTAAATCAGACTTTAAAGAACATCAATTTTTGCTTCATCATGACTACTTTGAACAATTGCAGGCAACCCCTTATAAGTCAGTTGCAAGAAGAAAAGTACAAGCTGAGGAGGATATAGCCAGAGAAGCCCCAGTGTGTATAAACAGTATCATGGGATAGAGATGTAAAAGATCAGCAACAGCAACTTCAGCAAAAATTGTGTTTGAAACATTTCTTTTACTTAAGCATAAGAACAACCATGAGGAGCGCTTGATGTTTCTTAATGGACTCTTGACTTTTGAAGCTGTTCCAGTTGTCGAGCGCACCTCAGGTGGTGGTGAAGTATTCGAAAAACATTTCAAACACATTATTTTGCTGCAGAGAGCAGACAGGACTTTCAGGCCTGTGGGCGTTTTTAAAAATTTACTGTATCTCTAGCTATGTTTTTTTGTACATTGAATGTTGAAAATGTTATATCTTATATAGAATGCATTACGTCATATCAAACCTACTTTTTCTATACAATCAATAAATCTGATGGTTAAAGATTGTATCATGGTGTTGTCAGTTGCTTGCTGTGTGTGCACATGTGGGAAGAAGACAGTCAAACTCTGGTGGATGAATAGAAACTTCTTAAGAAAATAGTTTTCACCTGCAGGCTGAGGTAATCCCAGAACTTTCTAATGTAATATCGACAGTTTTTGGCAACCGTGTTTCCTGCTGCCATGACAACCCACATAAACCTGTTACTTTTGTTCCTGTGGGGTCCCAGTGGCTTACTGGACTAAAATGCTAAACCACCTTTTGGATTACATTCAGCTTTACTTGTGCATTCTTTCATTTCCTCCCGTCCTTCCTGCCACCCTCCTGATAGTATAAACACATCGTTTAATGCCACAAAGTGAAGCTGTCTCCCTTTTACCTTCAACATCTTCTCTCATTCTTTTATTGTTTTGCGGGGAGCAGTGTTCCCAAACTGTCAGCAGAAAAGCTCTGCAGGGAAATCAGGATGGTATCCTCTCAGAGATGCCGGAGCTAAACTGTTCACAAAACAAATCGTTCAAATAAAGTAAAAAGACACAACTCAAGAGGAAACACAAAGTGAGGGCTTTTTAATGGGCATTGAAAGTAGGTTTAATTTGGAATATTTTACAAGATGCTGGTGTTTATTACAAGAATAACACACTACATGATTTGTGAGTGTAATTATTTTGGGTCCCTTTTATTTGAGGCAGTAGATTGATTCTCACTGAAAGGAAAAGACTGGGGTTTTTTTTGCTGAAAGTCAGATGAGAAGACTTTGATGTCTGTACAGTGAATTCATCGCTTATTCAGTCAGGAACACTTTATTTCCATTTGCAGTATTATATTTGGCGGTATGGCTCTGTTCAGGGGCCTCTCTGCCTTTCCTCGGGCCTACGCAGAAAGCCTCTTCCACGTATAAGGGCAGAGAGGTATGCTCTCTGCTCTTCCATGTGCAAACGAGGAAAGCCTGAGGCAGAGAGAGCAAACCTCCCTGCCCTTCCATGTGCCTACATGGAAGGCCCAAGGCAGGAAGAGCAGCAGCAAAGACCCCCCAGGGAACAGAGCAGAGCAGCATCAATGACAAACAGAAATGACATTGATAAGTCAGACACAGCATGAAAAGGAGGAGCTGGGGTGGAGGAATAACAATAGCAATAGCCAACCAATAGCAGGTGCATACCTAAAGTCTACATCCAATGAGTCAGGCTGAACCGAAATGTCCACCCTCTGGACTTATGGACTGAGCCTTCGCAGACTTCAGTAGTACGTTGTGTGACGTGTTCACTGTCATCAGGAAAAGTCTGCAAGGGCAGTGACTGAAAGGAGCTGATAGACAGCCCCTGAGACTGTTAAACTCATATTAATACATCTCTACATAATAAGCTACAGGTGTTGAAAAACAAAAATGTTTGTAAATAAGGACAGGATTATAACTCAATAAATTGGGTATTATTTATTTACAGTAGAAGACCTTTTGCTGTTTTTCGACCAATTTTTTTAGCCTATTTCACTACGCAGCTGGATAAAATGCATTTTCATTCCCTTTACAGCCTATACTTACACGTATTTCTGTATCATGATGTGGTTGAATATTAATTCTGGCCTACGCGATTTAAGTAGCATTTAATAGGCCTAACTATCAATAAGTATTCTACACATTCACAGGTGACTGTTCAGCAATTGAAAAGGCCACAATGTCACGTCCATATGGCAATGAATTGTGGGCGATTAAATCAATGAAGTCTGCTGAAATCTGCACTACAAGTGGACGCTCTGAAAGTCTGCAGAAAGTTCGCTTGAGGCCCCTTGTGGGCTGGTTATATCATGGGTTTGGACAACACTCCCGGACTTCCCAGAAACGCGACCAAAATGTCCATGAGCCTGCAAGGCAGTGAAACGTGTCAGTTGTAATAATATACTTAACGCAGCAGCAGCCTGGGAGTCTTATGTATAAAGTAAATGCCATTATAGGCTCCCAGACTGCACTTAAACATATAAGACAAGATTGTTTTTTCTTTTGGTTCTCATTCAAAGGTCCCTCATGATTAAAGCAGTAGATAATGACAAGTAACAGTAAGAAGATCTGATGCATATAAACCTACATAAAATGACAATACTACTATCTTTCTGACAAAGGTAAGTTACAACTGTGCACTTTGCTAACAGTGGAAACAATAAGGAAGGCTGTTTCTATAATACTACATATTCTTCCTAGTGAAAATGAATGAAGCAGTTAATTACAGATTGTTTTTCCTGCTCTACAGTGTACATGCACAAATAACAACCCTGTTTCCAAATACCGCTTGTGTCTAAAACTACTGTACAGTCATATGTTCGGCCATAGTCTCATACATTATATTTCAATTAGCCTGGAAAGTGAATTGTGGAATTTATAGGACAGTTACAAATTGCTAATTGCTTTGCTAAGCCATTTCCTAGTCTAAATTTCATCACAGCTGTGCATACATTTGGCTGGTGCATCAACGCGTGACAGGTCAATTACAGTTTCTTATCATCCAATAATCTCATTGGCTTTGTTATGTTGCCAGTTGTTTCCCAAAGCAGATGTCTGGAAATTAAAAATATGCCTCCCGTGTAACTTCTATAGCTTCTATAAAAGTTCACTTTTCTCTCCTTCTATTTGGAGGAACATGTGGGCAGGCAGATAAGATATAAAAGGGTAAACATCTGGAGTGCAGCCACCTTTCAAGTGTCAAGTTTACCATCAGATTTGTTTAATTATGTTTGTTTTTCTGTAGAAGTACAGTCTTAATGCTCAGGGGTTGAAGCTGTTTGAGGGCCTGTGAAATCAAACAAGTCATTTTTATATCACTGCAGTCCATATTATCAAACAGAGATTTCTAATCTTGTTTTCCTTCTTAACTCCACTGTTTCCTTTGGTTTACAAGGACTACAATTAGTTTGTCTTTACACAGCACGGCCAGATTAACATATTAGGGGGCCTTCTGATCCTCCACCAACCACCCTCTATGCATTGTGTACTTGGCCACAAGGTCGGTGCCTCAGTTAGTTTGTAGTCATTTGCTTAAACATAGTGTTATTTAGGAATATGCACCATGGAGGCACAATAGAAACTACAGTAATAAAGGTTTTATCTTTAGATATTGACTCAGAGCCTGCCTATGCGACATTAGGTAACAATGCCTTTGTGGATATTGTACTTTGCAGTTAATCAAATTGCCACTGACATGTAGTAAACGTGGGGCTTTGATTGGTTTGTAAATCAGACCTTGTTTTTAATTTGCAGCTGAGGCCCAGTAAAGGGCCAGCTTTGTCCACCAAAGTGACAAATTCAGTCTCATCAGTAATGCAGAAATCTTGGATAAAAAGTCTTTATGGAATGGCAGCAGATCTATTCTGGTGGCTTGTGGTGTTTTTAAAATAATTTCTTAGGTTCTTGCTTAGCTCTGTTCCCAAAAAAAAGGATTTTTTTAAGCTGCAGATTATCCATTTTCAGCTGCACAGGAGAAAACAGCGTGTAGACGATTGACCACCAGGGATCGTAAATTTTAGGGTGACAGCTGGTTCTCCGCTGACAGAGTGAATCAGTTTTTCTTGGTGGACGGTTGTTCAGGTGTACAGTTTTTGAGGCGGGAACAGCTGGCGAGACGGTTTCCCTCCCAGTAGCCAGCATCCTGACCATCGTGACAACGACACTTGGTGCAGGAGTCGACCCAGATGGGCTCTCCTGCAGGAATCACCTGGCTGCGTGTTGCATCGACATAGCAGTTAGGACCTGGAGGGAGAGGAGCAACAGAGGTAAGTACCTGCAGCTGAACAGAGCACTCTTGAAATGAGGGTTCCAAATGGTTTTTTTTCTAAAAGGCTGAGGTTCTACCCAAAAGTCCAAAGAATCCTTTTTGGGAGAAAGAGTTCTTCGAGGATTGTTGAAAGCATGAGTGTCAACAAATCCTTACCCTCAAATAGTTAAATGTTTTTTTGTTGTGTTTTTTTTTACTTAGATGTATCTGAAATCCCTATAATCAGTTCATTGTACTTGTGTTCTGGCATGGTTGATGTCTTTACCATCTTATCCATGCCATACCAAAATTCTTTTTTTTTTTCTTATGGGTACGCACAACTTGGCATTCTGTTTTGGTTCTAATTTGAAATCAAGTTTTGGTTCCTAACCCGATGCACCATTGATATAGTAAAGGCTGTAGTAGTAGTGATTTCACAGAATCTCCACCCCCTAAAAAACATGATTGTGAATCACAAGTGTTGTGGGGTGCACTGGCCCACATCAAGCCCGGCCCTTTAGGAACCTTGTGGATCTCAAGACTGCTGGGTGTAGTTCCCTTGACCCCAGGCTAACCTGATGATGATTAGTGGGAGAGAGATCTATGGGTAATGTAGGCAGTTACTAATGCAAAGTCCCTTGGATGGGCTCTAGATGAAACCCTTAGAATAATTAGGCTTTTCTGTGGATAACCTCGAGTGGGTTCTTGTTAGCACCCTTAGAGGGTGGAAGGTTCTGGATAGAACTCCCATTTACCCCTTTTCCTCCAAAATAGCTCTGGTTTTTGAACCAGTTCTGGTCAGGATTTGTGGAACCTTGGTGCTATCTAGCAAATCAGCCTGAGTTTTAACCAGTTTTGAGTGGAGTCTTGGAATCAAGGATATGTCATCAACGGAGGATGTTGCTCAATGCACAACAAATGTAAACTGCGGCAAAACCATGTATTACATTAATTACCTGCAAGCTTTTGTCTTGTCATTACAGATATTTGTTTTTATCAGAAAAACAAACATAGACCAGCTATTAGTGAGACCACTGCACACTCTCTGACAATTTCTCTCTTTACCTTTCATTGTTGCGTTCTCCAAACCTTCTCTTTCTAACCTGTAGAATATGACACACCCACTGACACGCTCTGTTTGGTCCTAAGTAGACCGGGTCTGTTCCGGTTCCCGCACCTAATTTTGAACCATTCAGAGCTTTTTGACCAGAAATAATTTGGTTCAGAACCCTAAAAGTTGGTTTTAAGCTGGAAGCAAAAAGTCATATTCTACAGGTTGGAAAGAGAGGATGGAAAAGGCAACAATGGAGAACTCGAGTGAGAAATTGTCAAAGAGTGTGCAGTGGTTTCATTAATACAGTGGTGGAAAAAAGTTTTCGGACACCCTTAAAATTTTACACAATCTCAAATATTATCATGAAATATTTGTGGAAAAATCTTTTTTGTGTTTCAAAAGGTGTGGCTGCATTAGACAGATACAAACAAATACAAATTATATTTTTTTGTTTATTGTTTACAAGAAAAACTAACAAAACTAAATTCTTGACAGTTTCAATATGTCAGTTCTCAACATTGTCGGTATCAAAGTCAACAAATAACAGAGAATGTGTTCAAAACTGAACAAAAAATGAATAAACCATCACATCAACAAATTAATATTTAGTAGTCCTGCCATTGGCACGTAGTAGAGCTCTCACCCTGGCTGGCATGTTCCTCACGAGCCTTTCACACTGATGGTGTAATGGTAATTTTGTCCCATTCTTCTTGAATTACTGCTTTTAATTCTTCTAAATTCTTTGGTTTATGCTTTGAAACAGACCTTTTGATAATCCACCACAGATTTTCAATGGGGCTCATGTCCAGGGATTGAGCTGGCCACTCTAAGACCTGGATACTGTGCTCCTGCAGCCAAGTTCTACTGGCCTTGGATGTGTGGCAAGGGGCATTATCTTGTTGAAACATCCAGTTTTTACCTCAACGGAACAGTGCACGCGCACGAATGGTACAATACTTGGTAGACTTCAATGTGCCATCACAGACAGTGAGATGACCAACACCAGCAGCACTCATGCATCCCCAAACCATGATACTGCCTCCACCATGCTTGACAGTAGGTACTGTACATGCTGGAGATAATGATTCGCCTGGCCTTCTGCGTACCCTCACATTAGTAAGAGGAAGATAAAGCTGGAAAGTGGACTCATCTGACCACGAAATCTTCTTCCAATTCCTAGCTGTCCAGTTCTTGTGTGCCTGGGCCCAACGACGCCGGGCTAACCTCTGTCTCTCATTGATCAGGGGCTTCTTGATAGCCTTGTAGGACCTTAAGCCATGATCTAAAAGTCGGCCACGTACAGTGCGGGTGGAACACTGGACACCAGTTTGGTTTGACCACTGCTGCTGAAGCTCCTGTGATGTCATTCGGCAGTTTTGCCTGCACATGCAGATCAGGATGTGGTCATTTCTTGCCGAAGAAACCCTTGGACGACCAGATCTTGGTTTGTCTTCCAAGCTGTTGGTTCGTCTGTATTTCTGCAGAGTGTATCTAACTGCTGAAGGACTGCATCTGCACTTCCTGGCTATCTGGCGGCAGCTGTACCCTTCCTGGCTGAGAATCTTTATCTTCAGGCGTGTTTCCTGCGTTAGGTTCCTTGTTTTAGCCATTTTTGTGTCTGAAGAACTTTCAAATGTGCTGGCTTTATGTAGACACGAAGCTTGGCAACAAAAATTGTGTCTTTTAATAAAAAGAACGACCTTCATCACTGGTACCAAAATGACCCAATACTCAAAATTTCTTATGTATTTTTATGGAACCAATCAATTTTAAGCTTTTAATGGCTTTTTTAGGATTTATTTAGTATTTTGGCTGTGACTGTACTAAAAGAAATTGCACTTGAAGATCTAAGAGTGATTCTTAATGCAATATTTCACAAATGCATGGGGTGTCCGAAAACTTTTTTCCACCACTGTAGTTGGTCCATTCTTGTTTTTTGAGTAAAAACAAATATCTGCACTAACAGAAGTTCACAGGTAATCAATGTAATCTCCAATTTTGCTACTATTGTTTAGTTCAGTTGTGCATTGTGCAAAGCCCTCTGTTGATGACACAGCCTCGATTACAATGGTTCTGCTCAAAACAAAAGACAGCACCAAGGTTCCAGGAACCATGAAAGGTACCAGTTCATGAACCGGAGCTAATTTGGTGGAAAAGGGGTATGAAAGAGTTCCATGTAGAACCTTTCTACCAGGAACCACAAAGCATTCTTCCATGGGGACAAGCTGAAGAGCCCTTTATGGTTCTAGTTTGCATGTTTATTTCTAAGAGTGTACTACAAACAGGGAGGCACATAAAATCAAGTGCACACACACTCACCCCTGCATGCTAATGATCAAATACATTAGAACTACATTTGACAGTGGTGCTCTTATAATAGTGAAGATAAATTTCCTGTTGAATCTCTACGAGCCCCCCTAGGTTTTATTTCACTGTCTACTTTTTTAATGCTATTTTCAACTTACCCTCTTGGCATTCGGGGCAGCATTTGCCAGGCTGGTAGACAGGGTTGACACATGGTGGAGGAGCACAATCTGCCACTAGACAGCGGGCGATGCCATCACTGTCACAAGTGCACTGCTCACACTCTGATGGCTGGGGAAAATACACACACATATACACACAAACAGTGCGAGACTTAACATGGATCTTGTTTCTAATCAGCAGCTCTCACCAAGTCCTCCTCATGCCATCTCAAAAGGGGGCGCCATTTACCTCCAATTCCCGGCTGTATGCTCAAGTAGCATTCCAGTACCACACTGTAATTAATTGGCTCAGAGTTTTAGAAGGGAAATACACTGCAAAAGATATGCATCAGCTTACACTAATACAAGCTTATGAAAATCGTGACATGGGTATAAGTTACATTTCTTTTGTACTATGCTTGTGCATAGTTACACATTTGAATGAGAGGCAACAGTAACTGCAGAACAAAGTGGAACCTGCATGAAACAGATCAGTGACAGGGTTTACACATAAACAGTACTGAGCTGCTACTCACCTTTTGTTTTGTAATATGTGTGATAGGCACTTGTTATTTACAATCTGGGTCTACTGCACATCACCTAAAACTCACCTTTCTGCAAAAGCACCCCTTGATATTAAAAACAAGTCTAATACTGCACAGATATGCAAATATACTGTAGTTAATTGCTCTGCAGTGAAATTATAACCATTTCTAAATTATGCTGCAGTATTTCATTTTGAGATAGTGCAGATTGGCAATTTGGAATTTAGGCTACTGCTGTATTCATGTAGCCTACTCTACCCTTGCAAAACTAAATAAGCTTGCCTTTAATGAAAGTTAGGAGCCACCACAAACTAAACAATACCTGCTTTTGACCCCTTAATCACAGGTTATGGCCTGAGTGTGGCTTGTTTTACTTTTTGGACTGTTTCAAGCATTTTTAGACACAAAATATATCAAAATATTCTAAGTAAATTATAAGTAAATTGCAAAAACAAGCGAAAAGTTAATAATCCCCCAGATTTTTCTTGAGACCTGACCTCTAAGATAGATATTTTGGGTGGGTATTGTGTTTATAATTACATATGGAAAAAAAAAAAAAAAAGATCTCAAAACATTTAAGGTTATGAGTATCTATAGGGTCATGTAGTTTCTACCCATCCTGGAAGCCATGACAGTATCCCCATCTTTGCAAGCTACCATGTGTCATCACTTTCAGGCTTACCTGGAAGTTCTGCCCCAGCTCGTACACCACTCCACGGTACTCACAGCCGATCTTCTCGCACCTGGGGCAGCAGTCGGTGGGGTAGTGGCTCACATGGATGCATGCAGCCGGCAGAGAGGTGCACTCAGTGCGGGAACACGCGGAGCCCTCAGTGGTGCATTCACACTGGGTGCAGTGATCAGAGTCCAGGAAATACCATTCCCCCAAGAAGTATATGCTGCCGTTGGCCTCACAGGTGCTTTCCTGCTGCCCGGCGACTGAGAAGCCAAAACCAGCCTGCGCGCAAAACAGCAGTGCCAAAACGGCCGTGCGTATTGTGCGCTCCAAGGAAAGACGCTCACTGAAAACCATGGTGATTTATTTGATTCACCTTGTCCAAAGCTAAAAGTTATTACGAAACATCCACTGTAGTCCAGCTGGGATTTATTCTGTAGACGGGTCGACCCAAGTTTGTTACATTGTTACTGCCCGCAAGAATCTTTGGCGTTACCTCAGCCTTCCCTCCACAGCGGTCTACTGGGGCTGCACATACTTCTGCAAGGAGCCCGGAAGGGGGTGGAGGTTGGGGGGCATGAAGAGGGAAAGTTATATTCACTGCCTCTCATGAGGGTTCACACGCCAGTCTCAGCTAATGTTTGTCCCTCCCCCAATTTAACATCTTTAAGTATATTAGTGCAGACTTTTACAAGAGCACAGGTGGTCTAATGTGTACATAGTTGGTTTAAGAGGTCTATAAAATATAGAATATGTATTTAGCCTGCTTTGTTCCAATGTGTCATTATTTATTGCAGTTTTATCGTGTCGTTTTGATTAAAAAAAGCATAAATATGCATGTGCGTATATGAAAAAAAGAAGTCTGTTTTAAGATCATGGTTAAGATGCATAGAGAACCCAGCTGTTGACAGTTACCACAGATCTCGCGATATCTCCCCCCTAGCAACAGTAGAGTTTGCCCTGGATACCATAGTCTTGCTACTACAAGCTAGGGTGAGCGTTTTTTCCTCTTTAGCAACATAGAAAACACATTTTATAAATTATGTCCGTGTTTTACCGAAGCTGTTTTGTTATTTGATTGTTATTATTGGAGATACGCCATGTAAATACTTATTGTTTGTGAAATATTCGGTTGTGTTGTTCAGGTGAAGACAGGTACCCGAGCTCTCAATTAGCTAACTAGCTAACGGTAGCTAACAACAGCTGTGGACACAGCAGGAGGAGCCTTAGTAACCTGGTAATATTTTGGGTTTTATTCCAACAAGCAGCTCCTCAACCTTTATTAATTGTACGACATTAATGTTAACCAGTGATAGGAGAAGCATTGAAATGTTTAACGTAAGAAACGTTAAGAATTGGCTGCTTTACAGAAAGTTTTAAAGATGCGGAAGTAATGGACCCTTAAATGCAAAAGTTAATGTAAGGTAACTTAAAGTTATTTGAGTGAGTGTAACATAAGTTCAAGAGAAAAAAAATCTCACCATGATCTTTTTTGGGACAGAAGTAGCTAGTTCTTGTTGTATATCAGCAAAATATGTATATGTAATTTAAGTAAAAGTACTCAATGTGTAGCTAAGGCTATCAATCTACAGCTAGGATATTTTACAATATGAATATTTTGTTAGTAAAACCTTAATCTGCAAAATAAATAGAAGCTATAGCTGCCAAAAAATGTAGTGGGGTTAAAGGTACAACATTTATCTCTGAAATATGGGTGAGTATAATTGTATAGTTTAATTTGATACTATATTATTATATGTATAATAAGTGTTTAGCACTGTCGCCTCGTAGCAAGAAGGATCCTGATTGGAACTCAGGGTGGGGAAGCCCTATGTGGAGTTTGCAGGTTCTCCCCATGCCAACATGGGTTTTCTCTGGGTACTCCAGCTGTGTATTGTGATATGTGATTTTCTCCTCCCACAGTCCAAAGACATGCAGGTTAATTGGTAACTCTAAATTGTGCGTAGGTGTGAATGTGAGTGTGAATGGTTGTCTGTCTCTATGTGTCAGCCCTGTGATAGTCTGGGGATCTGTCCAGGGTGTACCCCGCCTCTCACCCAATGTCAGCTGGGATAGGCTCCAGAAACTCGAATGTCCTTGTTTAGAGCCAGTGTTTGGTCTGTCTGTTTTGGGCTACTGTAGAAACAATATGGCAGTCTCTGTGAAAGAGGACCAGCTCCATAGGTAAATATAAATTGCTCATTCTAAGGTAACAAAAACACCACAAATCTTATTTCCAGGTGATTATAAACTAAAGGAAACCTAGCCTACATATTAGAATGTATACAATTTCTGCCAGTGTATCGCCCTAAATCCTACACACTGGACCTTTACGTATAAGAGCCTCAATTTGTGCTCAAGTGCTGCATTTGACTAAATGTAGTGAGTTACATTTTACCATGTTTAAGTTTGTCTCCATTCCTTCACTGCCAGATCACCATTCTGATGCAGACACCCAATGAAAACCAGCTCTGGTGTCCTGGCCAGTCCCTATGGAGCCTGATCGTTGAACATGTTCATGAGTCAGAGCTGGATAAGATCCACACAGCACTGGGCCTCTCTCTGATTGATATGTATACCGAGGTGCACACTGAGGTGAGTGTTTGAATGACTGCACTATTTCTGATTTCTTTTTTTTTTTATTATGTAGCTACCACATATTTGCTTTTAAGTTGGAACATTCCTCTTCAGATTCAGCGGGCAGAGCTTGTTTCATCATTCATGTTTTATTCGTTCAAAGAGTTCAGACACTGGGTCTGTCTCTGATAGGATCCCACAAGAATACCACCACACCATCAACAAGGATTTCCTTTTCAGCTCAGTTTTGGGGTGAAACAAAAAAAAACTTTGCTCAGCTAAGCATTCCTGACCAAACAATTTATGAACTGCAGTGTGAGGTTGTGTAAGTAGGTTAGTTTGGCTGCATACACTCATTAATCCCCAGACTCCCTAATAAAAGTGAAATGTGGGTTAACTGGCTCTGTCAGTGCTGCAGTGAAGTCCAAATGTGAGCCAGGCAGACAGACATCAATATTTGCTCAAGGCCAGCTAGACAGTCTGCCCTTAACAAAGTCTCTTGCATGAAAAGCACTCAGCTCTGGCAAAATGACCTCACCTAAGAAAGACTTGCAGGTCGATGAGAAACATCTGCGGCTAAGGTAGAGCGGCACACACCTCACAAAATAGGTTAAATCAAGGTCAAGACTGGTGTTAGGGTATTGAATTTAATTTGAAGAGACAAGCATTTTGAAATGGATGGGGTAAAATGATTCCAAAGAAAAACGGATTGACCCCTTAAGTGTGGTCACAAATCATGAATAAAAGTTGGAGAAGAATTAAGAAATATGATCAAATTTTAAATAACAGGAAAAGTCAGTAACACTTTACTTGAAGGTATCTACATAAGGGTGACATGACACTGTCATAACTATGACATGACACCATCATGAACTTGTCATAAACATTATGTACATGTCATAAACATTTATGATTGCTATCATTAAGTGTCATTTGGTTTCTGTAATGACAAGTTGACATTGTTTGGGTTGTCTTGATTATGACAACTTGACATTAATCAAAGTGATATTACCAGAAGGTGTCTTTGTCATGACAAGTTGACATTAAATTTGTTTGGGATGTCCTTATAATGACAACTTGACATTAGCCAGGATGACATTACCAGAAGTTGTCTTTGTCATGACAACTTGACATTAACCAGGATGACAAGTTGACATTAAATTTGTTTGGGATGTCCTTATAATGACAACTTGACATTAACCAGGATGACATAAATCCTAACATTACAGTTCAATGAAAATGGCTCAGTGGTTGACCTTAAATCTTAATGTGACAAAATGTGGCCTAGTCTACTGAGGAAACATTCCTTTCAAGCTGGATTACATAAGAGAGGTTATGCCATGTGCACTGAAGACCAAGTCTGTAGCTCGCACACAGGCACAAAGAATTCATCTTATCAGCACTTTCCGTGGGATATCAAAATCTCTGTATTTGATGTTTTCCCTCTGATGAAATGAATACAACCTCAGCCTGTCGTCTTTGCTTCCCCGGTCTCCTTCTTCTGCCACCCTCTATTGTTTCTTCTTTCGTGTGTTCAGTTTTGAAATCTCTCCATCTGTAGATGTTATCAGCCTGCAGCCAGCCAACAGGGCAGTCGCCATGTTTGAGAGCTGTCTCAGCTCTCAAGCAGTGCCATGTAGACGCTGACCACATATTATTTTTGTAACAGTTAACATGAAAAAAAAAGACCTGACATCTACAAAACACACTGAAGCATGCAAGACTCCCTCCCTTTCGCACACACATGAACATACCCACATAAACTCATATTTCATTTGCAATTGAGTCGTCAAATTAAATGTCTTTGTACATGACAAAAACTGGATTTAAAGCATTGTTTCAGGAAGCATTAAACCAAAAATCAAACCACAATAATGCAGAGTAATTCAGCTCACACACACACACACACACACACACGCACGCACACACACACGCACACACGCACACACAAACACAATCATACACAAAATGAGGCCCAGCAAGCTCAGTGAGTCAGGGGGTCGGTATAACAGGGTTAAAGAGGCTAATCCTCAACTGTTGATAAGACCATTAGCGACACGTATCCTTTGACTCAATTGTGTATGTGTCTGCGTAGAGAAAACAGACGTGGGCGAGTGTTTACCGTGTGCGTGACTTCCAGTGTTGCACTGATGTTTTGTCACCTAAAGTTCAGTGTATGCAGTGGCTGGCTGTATGAAGCCGCCAGACGGAAAGAACGACTTAAAGGCTGAGAGCTTTGAGAAATTTCCAGGGGAAAAAGGAAAAAGCAAAACAAAGCACAGAGCGCCTTATTCAACTCCTTCAGTTATTACATTTACTGCAGGGTGGATCACTTCCTTTTCTCATGCTTTTCCCCCTGTCTGTATCTGCCTATCTCCAAGTCTTCTTCTGTTTTTCTCTCTCCTCTGTCCCTTTTTCTCCTTCAGCCATGTAATGAATTCCATCCCTCAGTGAGCCACTGTGAAAAGTAATAGTTGATCTGCAGGCGACTCCTCCATTCCTCAACACCGCCATCCCTCCCTCCATCAAGGTCTCCATTGTCTCCGGCGGTTAGATCAGAGGGAACATTAGCCTCTCTTTTCAGGTCTCCCTACAAGGCCAATCTCTCTGTTCCTCCCTCCACACTCTCACAACTTTCTCTCCACTCTGAATGAAAATGAGCCCTTAAAGTTAAATGTAGTCTACAACCCAATTTAAATAATTCAACATAATAGCTTCTCGTAGGTTTTTTTAACTGACAGGTTTCAACAGCGCTCCCTTAAAATAGCTCCTGCATGAGATCAACAGTCTCACAGCCGAGGGGGAGGGGGGGGGGGATGATCCAGGAACGACTTGTTAGCTGGTGAGCCATGAATCCTGTAACATAAACACCTCAACACCCAAAGACAGACAGAGGAAGCCAGCATGAGTGGAAAGGGCTGTGTGTGTTGTGTGTGAATGCTGGTATGCGGGGACACACGCACAC